TTACTAATAATCAATTGGTCTAATAATATTTTATCATACTCCTTAAACAAAGTTAATAGCTCGAATTTTAATATTTACGAATAGAGTAAATTAGATTAAGAGAGTTATCCCGTCTCTATAATACATGAATCGAATTAGTTGATTAAAAAAATTAAATATTAAAGGTTACATTTTAAAATATAACAATCCGTAGTCCCATATTAGTAAGTTTTTTCCACATATTTTTATGTTAAATCAATTTAAATTATTGAAATCATCAATAGTATTAGACAATTTTTAAAAGAAATATTATAACTCATAAATAAAAAGGTTAAAATTCAAGATTAAGAAGAATTTGATGGATATGTTACCATTTTACATTCCAATTTTTAACGCATTAATAAAATAGAGAGACTAAATTTCACATTTACAGAGAATACAAACACCGGGAGAAGTGACAAAAACCGGGGTCCTAAAACGGTAAAATTATATTTAAGTCCCTGAAAAACGTATAGACTTTTAAGTTGGTAATTGTAAAATTGCATTTTGTCCCTTAAAATGATGAAATCATTTTTTAAATCTAAAAAATTATGAAATCAGAAGTTAATAGAACGGCAAAATTACTCCTGGCCCTATCAGATATACCATTTGGAATATAAATATCAATATGGTAAAAAGGGAGGGAGGATTAAGTCAATTTCAACCTTGTTTGATTTATTGGTAACCCACATTCATATTTGCTTGAACTTTTCCAATTTTGTTTTGTTTTTACATGGGCAAAGTGGTCTAATAATTTGCGTTGACCTTGATGGATTGGAACCTTGACTTTCAGCCTCTTATTTGGTAGAAATGGTTATGTTTGCATAGAAAACTAAAAATTGAAAATCGACCCGAATTGTTGTATTTGGACGGATAATGACTCACATAAAAAACCTCTAGAAGTAGTATTAATTAAGGAGGCTGCTGGTCGATTGATTAGGATATTCAAACCTCATCATCTTGACCACGTCTCCGCCAAATGCCCATGACCAGCCTTGCTAATTTCTAAGCAAATTCCTAAATCCAAACCTACTTTTTATTTTTGGTTTATTCTCCTAATAGTCTATGAATTATACGTTAGTTGTGGATTCAATCACCGTATTTTCATTTGATCGTTTTTGGTCATGTAGGTTTCATATCTTTAAACTTCATTCTTCATCCAATTAATAACCGTGGGATATGTCTGGTCATGTTATATTGTTGTTCTTTGTATTAGGAGTGAGTTGTAGATTTAGTTCATGTTCTCTAAATTGATCATTTTAAGTTTCGTGAATTTAGTCATATTGTCCCATTATTGTATTATTTTGGGTCGTGGTTGAAAATTTAAAATTTTAATAAATATAAGGGTCAAAATTGACTAAATTAGAATATATTGACTAATTAATTTGACTATTTTTAAAAATAATGAGGACCTAAAATTTTTACCTGAAAATTAGGGAGCTAAGAGTTAGTTTACCTAGTTTCACAACCAAGAGGACTTTTAAAGTAATTAAATATAAAAAGTTAGGAGGGTCAATGTTTAATTTGTCTAGCTATAAAACTAAGAGAAACTAAAAAAGTAAGGGTAAAATACATAAATGGTCTGTCAATTATAAGGTGTTTTTTGTTGAGTCTCTCAATTGTTAAAAGTTACAAATCCCTTGATTATAGGGTGTTGTTTGCTGCGTCCCACTACTGTTGAAAGTTACAAAATGGTCACCCAAATATTCATATGTTTCAAACTAGTCCTTATCTGTTAAAAAATTAATGACAGTCTGAGCTGGACGTTAACCTGCTAACTGAGATATGATAGTCACTTGAGATTTTGGGATCAAATTTTATCATATCGCAGTTAGCATGTTAACGTCAAACTTAGGTTGTCATTAATTTTTTTAATGAAAAATGACAAGTTTGGAACATATGAATAGTCATATGACCATTTTAAAACATTTAATAATTGAGGGACTCGATAAAGTAATGTTCTATAGTCGGAAGACCATTTTATAATTTTTTAATAGTCGGGATCTCAAAAAAATAATGCTCTATAGTCGGATAGGACTGTAAACAAGTCAAGGTTGAATATTGCTGAGCTCGACTCGACTAAAAAACTTGTGAGCTTAAAATTGTCAAGCTCGACTCAATTCGAAAGCTCATGAGCTTAAAATTTGCAAGCTCTACTTGAAATAAAAAATTGAAGCTCAACTCAATTCCAAATCTTAAATACATGAAAGCCTTATGTTGTATTTTTTTAAAATATAAAGGTTAACATTTTAATAATTTAATTAAAAATTTTAAAATTTTTAATATATTATTTTTTCGAGTAGCTCGCGAGCTTTTTAAGTCGAGTATCAAGTAACTCGCTTTGGCTCGTTAAGAATTCGAGTCGAGTTCGAGCTTGAGTCAAATCTATTTGATTCGAATATTGATTGAGTCTATCTCATATAGTTCAGGATCTGTCTCGTCTCACTTACAATCCTATAATTGAGGACTATTTGTGTAATTTACCCAAAAATCAATTGGGACTAAAATATTTTAGGCCCATAGCCCCACCATCATATGCACCATCCCTAACCTCTATAATGAATTTATAGTTTATTTTATCCAAATTATTCAATTAATAATTCAACCAATAATTATAGGAAAATTGTATCACATTATATAATTTACCAATAAAAGTGTATTGATTTTAACATCTTCAATAACATTATATATTATTGTTATTAAAATTTCAAACGACTATTATATAACAGTTAATTGATTGACGTCTAGTTTAGACTATCATTATTTTTTAACGAAAAAGAATGAGATTAGAGCATCTGAATGACTATTTTGTATCTTTTAACGAAAAATGAGTAAATTCTTTCAAAAGTTGTTGCATTTGTTTCTTTCTTAAGAATTTTCTCTAAAAAGATAGTATCCGCGCGGACGTGTCGAAGACACGTATTACCACGACCACGACCACGACCACGACCACGACCACGACCACGACCACGACCACGACCACGACCACGACCACGACCACGACCCGACCCGACCCGAGACGAGACGGCGGCGGCGGCGGCGCGCGAGAGTCCCCCTTGTTCTCTTTCACTCAACAAGGAAATGGGAAATCCAAGCCTTAAATACACTTCACAATAGTGTTTCCAATACTATGTGGGATTGAGCATTACTCAACACTTCAAAGAAAATATAGCAATTTTTGTAGCATGTTTCCCGCTTAATCCATATTTAAAAATATTAAAACATTTTATCATATTAAAACTATATGTATAAGTTTGAATTGAAATGTAGATATCTACAACTCTTTTAATTCTCTTGATAAAATGTTTTAATATTTTTAGATATGGATTAAGTGGGAAAATACTACAAAAATTGCTATATTTTCTTTGAAGTGTTGAGTAATGCTCAATCCCACATAGTATTGGAAACACTATTGGGAAGTGTATTTAAGGCTTGGATTTCTCATTTCCTTGTTGAGTGAAAGAGAACAAGGGGGACTCTCGCGCGCCGCCGCCGCCGCCGTCTCGTCTCGGGTCGGGTCGTGGTCGTGGTTCGTGGTCGTGGTCGTGGTCGTGGTCGTGGTCGTGGTCATACGTGTCTTCGACACGTCCGCGCGGATACTATCTTTTTAGAGAAAATTCTTAAGAAAGAAACAAATGCAACAACTTTTGAAAGAATTTACTCATTTTCTTAATCGCGTTGCGATTCTTGGAAGATCGCGTTGCGATTTTCTGAATCGCGTTGCGATTTTCTTAATCGCGTTGCGATTCTTGGAAGATCGCGTTGCGATTCTTGGAATCGCGTTGCGATTTTCTTAATCGCGTTGCGATTCTTGGAAGATCGCGTTGCGATTTTCTGAATCGCGTTGCGATTTTCTGAATCGCGTTGCGATTTTCTGAATCGCGTTGCGATTCTTGGAAGATCGCGTTGCGATTTTATGAATCGCATTGCGATTCTTGGAAGATCGTGTTGCGATCTTCTTTTCAACGTTGCGCTTTTCTAAATCGCGTTGCGGTTTTGATATCGCGTTGCGATTTTGTTGGTCATTTTGGCAAATCAAAAAAAAGTTGGTTAAAATCGTATATTATAAGGCATTTTTGGTCACTGAGGCGATTTTCTCATAAAAAAATCACGGGGTCTAATATTTTGAGCAACTCCTCACGGTAAGTGTAAGTTGCAACCAAACCAAATACTTAAGCATCCTCTAAAAAAGATGTATTACCTAATGCCTATTAATATTAATATAATAATAATAGTTTAGAATTATAACGAAGCAATATTACACTACTATAATGAGACCAACAAATAACTATTTTAATGTAATTTTTTAATATTTTCTGTCAATAGTCTAATTTTACTCTTATAAATTTTATAATGATTTTATTAATATGAATGTGACTAGTATCTACTGATAGTTTTGACTTTCGAGATGAAATTAGAATATTCAAAAGTATAAATATTGATTTAAAATAGAGTCATAATTTGAGATGAAATTGTAATATTCAAAAAAATCGAGGGTTAATTTAGAATGAATTATAGTTTGGGTGAAATTAAAATATGTAAAAATTTAGAGACTTATTTAAAAAAAAATCATAATTTGAGAATGTGCATTGCAATTAACTTATAAAAAATAAATATGACGGTGCAAAATTACAAGTTATTGACTTCGTTCTACCGCGAATCATTTCCCTCACTAATTAACCAACTAATCAAATTAAGAAAATATAGTTATATTAGCAATTAAATAATCATTTTAAGGTAATAATTTTATTATTCCTAAAAAAGAAATCATTTTTGTTCAAAAGAATCTATTAGTAATAAAATAATAATCATATTCATGCTACGAAGAAAATTTCAAAACCCACCAGATTGTCGAGACTCGAGACCAACCAGTCACCCCGCGTTTTCTTATTTTCTTTTCTTTCTTCCTGCGCCGTCCTCCGCCCACCAACCCCGCAACGGCGGAGACTAAGTTTCAGCTGTTCTTTTAATTCTTTCTGATTATGGGAAATTGTAACGCATGCGTAAGACCGGACGAGAGTCCGGAAAGTAAACCGAACCGATCGGACCAGAATCAGAAAGGAAAGAAAAAACACCGGGAAAGAAAAACGAACCCGTTCGCCGACAGAGTCACCTCGCCTGCTCCGATCCGAGTTCTAAAAGATGTGATCCCACTGAGTCACCGAACTCGAATTTTCGACAAGTACATACTCGGGCGCGAGCTGGGGCGAGGTGAGTTTGGGATCACTTACCTCTGCACGGACAGGGAAACGCGCGAAGCCCTTGCGTGCAAGTCAATCTCCAAGAAGAAACTCCGGACAGCCGTCGACATCGAAGATGTCCGGCGCGAGGTTGCCATAATGTCGACGTTGCCGGAACATCCGAATATTGTGAAGCTGAAAGCGACGTATGAGGACAACGAAAACGTTCATTTGGTTATGGAGCTTTGTGAGGGTGGGGAATTGTTCGACAGGATAGTGGCGAGAGGGCATTACACGGAACGCGCGGCGGCGAACGTCACGAAGACGATAGCTGAGGTGGTTAAGATGTGCCACGAGAATGGCGTTATGCATAGAGATTTGAAGCCTGAGAATTTTTTGTTTGCCAACAAGAAAGAACACTCGCCGCTAAAAGTGATCGATTTTGGTTTGTCTGTGTTCTTTAAGCCTGGTATGTTGGTGAATTTATTTATTTCCTTTTTTGAGGTCTTATATGGGTCTTTTGATAATTTTTGAATTATAACCCAAAATTTAGATAATTTTTGTGTGGCTTTTTTTCTTCTTGTTTACGATTATTTTTCGATTTTTAGTTTTTCAAACCTTTAAACTAGACCTGAGTTTTCTCTGGGATAGTTTGATTTGACTGGATTTCAGATTCTGCTCGTTAGATGTTTGTTCAACAGCTGAATCTTGAGTTTTTGAACTTTGATTATCGTTTTAGTGAGGTTTATTCATGGATTTCAACTTGATTGCAGGATTGATATTTGGAAATTTGGATTTATTTTTGCAGGGGAGAAGTTCTCCGAGATTGTGGGGAGTCCATATTATATGGCCCCTGAAGTTTTGAAACGAAACTATGGACCAGAGGTTGATGTGTGGAGTGCTGGTGTGATCCTGTACATTTTGTTATGTGGGGTTCCTCCCTTTTGGGCAGGTATTCCCTTTTCTTACTTTCTCCTTTTACATGCTTGTACAGTTCCAGACACTCTCATGAACATGTAGCATTTAAATCTATGTATTTTCAGAGACCGAACAGGGCGTTGCTCTTGCGATTTTGAGAGGGGTCATTGATTTTAAGAGGGAACCTTGGCCTCAAGTTTCTGACAGTGCTAAGAGTCTTGTTAGGCTGATGTTAGAATCGGATCCTAAACAAAGGTTGACTGCTCAACAGGTGCTCGGTAAGTTCTCCGGCCGTTCTTACCGTGTTGGATTTTCCGTTAGTATCAAGGACAAGTAGTTTTCATATTTAGCTTTTGATAGAATTGGTGGACCCATTGTGCTTGCTACCTAAACATTATGAATCATTGTTCAAGAAAGCGAGGTCAGAGTGATCTTGAAAGTTCAGATTCCAGCCATAATGAGCTTGAGCATCGAGCTAACTTTATGCCATGGAGCGGTTGGATTTATAGCTTTGGCATCTGATAATGGGTTTATAGCTTTTAATACTTCTAATCAGCAGAAACCATTTATTTTAACATGCAAGATATACTAAAGTTCCTGCAGGATCGTGTTTTCGACATTTTTTAATAGTTGTGTTGATTTTTGCTTTTTGATCTCATCCGTTCTTGACCCTACTTTTGGGCACAGAGCATCCCTGGTTGCAAAATATGAAGAAAGCTCCGAATGTTCCATTGGGAGATATTGTGAGAGCCAGGCTCAAGCAGTTTTCGGTGATGAATAAATTTAAGAAGAAGGCTTTAAGGGTAAGCGTTTTTGGGCAGATTACGTGATTTTGTCTCTTAAAGATTCAAGACCGTTGTGCCGTCGTGCAATTTGCAAGTTCCTGCAGGTGATTCAGTTTTTGTTAATGTTGCAGGTAATTGCAGAGCACTTATCAGTAGAAGAGGTTGAAGTGATCAAAGATATGTTCACATTGATGGATACGGACAATGATGGGAAAGTTTCGTTTGAGGAGCTAAAGGCCGGTCTTCGAAAGGTTGGTTCGCAGTTGGCGGAACCAGAGATCAGGATGTTAATGGAAGTGGTATGGTCCCTTTCTTTTGTCTGCTTAATTAACTGAAAGATCAAAACTTAGCACGTTATATCATTTTTACTTTTTATCTCATAATCTCATTTGGCTCCCGAGAACTCAAACGTCAACTCGTGTTTCCTTTGTGTTGATCTATTCGTATCAGGCTGATGTTGATGGAAATGGAGTGTTGGATTATGGGGAATTTGTAGCAGTGACAATTCACTTGCAGAAGATGGAGAATGATGACAATTTCCGCAGAGCATTCATGTTCTTTGACAAAGATGGGAGTGGATATATTGAACTGGATGAGTTACAAGACGCATTAGCAGATGAATCTGGTGAAACTGATGTTGACGCACTGAACGACATCATGCGTGAAGTTGACACTGACAAGGTATTACTCGATAAATAGCTGAGAATTCATTTTCTTTGAAATATTCATTTTCAACATTCCATAAATTTGGATGTAAGTATGGGGTATGATCTCCCAACTGTAAGCATACTCGTGTTGGACACATACCTTTATCTAATGCTCATGCTCATGCTCGGGTCCATATAACGTAAAATCTAAGTAATTAAGATTTTCAAAGTTTGTCAAAATAGTTTCTGCTGAAAATGGTTAAAATTCCAATGTACTTGGGACTTGGGAGATTGAGGATTGCTAATTTCAACTAAAACTACCAGTGCCCTTTCATCATATATTTTCTTTCATAACTTTGAACTTTTACCATATTTTTTACGGTTACCCCATTTTTTTCTGTGTACCTTTGATTATTCAGGACGGGCGAATCTGTTATGATGAATTTGTGGCCATGATGAAAGCTGGCACCGATTGGAGAAAGGCATCCAGGCAGTATTCGAGAGAGAGGTTCAAGAGCTTGAGTCTTAACTTGATGAAAGATGGTTCCTTGCAGCTCCATGATGCGGTTACCGGCCAAGCTGTTGCTGTTTGAGGTAACAGGATCGATCAACTTTGTTATGCTTGTTCCTGCTTGACACTTCTCTCTCACCATTTGCTGTCGATAAATGATCTATATCTGAAACGTACCAAACCAGTTGCTTATCGGAATGGCATTTAGGTTCGAGTGTAACACCGAGCATTTTGGTGGCAAACGCAATATTCTTTCATAACATGTTTACATCACCATTTGCTGTCGATAAATGATATATATATTTTTTCATGTCATGTTTGGTGATCGACTTCGTATTGTTTCATTTTACTATTTTGTGCAGAATGTAGTGTAGAGTTGTCTTCGACAAATGTGACATTATAAATATGTTTCCAATCTTTGTTTTATATATATATTACTATTTTTTTATTCTGTTTCCTTTATATTTATATATAAGGTTAGGATTTACTTATATGGTACAATTTTTTTTTATTTTTACACAGATTTAGAACCGTTAGTGAAAATAGATGGATGAAATTAACTTCTTTTTTTCAGTGAATATCTTCTCATTGTGTTTAGTTTTACACAATGTAATAAAATTGTATCTCATAAACTTCTCGAGTTATAAAATCGGTAAGTAAATGAGTTCCAATGAATCGTTCTTTGACTCTTTAATATTTAAATTAACATTTTAGATATCATGTTGAAAAGATAAAAAGTAAATTAATTTAAATGTTTTTATATCTAAAAGTTATTTTTGTCTAAAAGCTTGTTTAATCAGTATTTTTTTAATTTCAAAAGTTAATTTTTTAATTGTTTTTCGTAAAAAAAAACTATTAGTAAGGTGTGATTTGAAAAACAATGGAAAAAATAACCTTTAGGAATATAAAGTCTAAATCTATTCATGAGATGGATACAGGGACGAGTATGATTGAGTTTTTGGATTATTCGAATTTGATATAATACTATATATATATATATATATGTCAATCTAATTTAATTCAAGTTTATAAAAATTTCATTCCACTTAAAATTTGAATCCAGTTTTTATGATAAAAACTTAAACTTGCATTTGATATGACAAAAATATATATATTTTATTTTTATTTAATAAAATATAGAATAAGAAGTATTGTGACAATTATTTTTAAATATATAAAAAGATAACTATATTATTATCTTGATTTAGATCAAGTTAATATTTTCATTTTACATTAAACGAAAACTCGAACCGGTGACATTACCCTACAAGAAACTTAACCCAAACATAGATTTTCGATATATATATATATATATATTCTACAAGACCGGATCGAAACCAATTGAATCCGCATTCCATACTTATCATGTACATCTCATAATAGTGCTATCCTAAAAATATGATAACGTAATCAGAAAATCGTTTAATAACTTTAATTCTATGGAATAATAGAGTATAATAATTAGTGACCATTTGTAGAATTAACCCTTAACTTTATTATAATTGTAACTTAATCTCATAATTTTAAAAAGAAATGTCAGCTCATTAAATATTCAAATGGATTTCAGCTGAATTTTGCCAATGCAATCTATTACTCAAGAAAAATGAAGAAAAAAACCCATCTTTTGATCTCCAGATCAATTCCTTTTTAACCTTTTTCGAGTGGATTTATTTCAAGAACGTGCTTGAATTTCAATTGGCACACCAAATGCTACACAGGAGCACTACTCTCCTTGAAAATTTCAAAAAACAGTCGGAGAAACCCTCCATTAGTGTTCATAACATATTCTGAAAACACACACACACAGTCTCTCTCTCTCTCTCCCTCTTTGTTTCTCTCTCGTGCTGGAAGTTGAGCTGGAAAATGAGGGTTTTGGTCTGGTTTTCCCCTGTGATTTTTGCAGTTACCCTTTTGGTATCCTGCTCTTTTGCTCTTACTATGGTAAAAGCTAAAGAACCCATCACTGTTTGTGTTCTTTTTTCTAATGAAAGTTTGTCTTTTTGCTAGAAAAAAATATCCCAGAATTTTATTGTCCTTTTTAAAATGCTTAGAAATGAAGTTGAGCTTCTGGTTTCTTTTATCTGATTTTTTTTAAAGGTCTAACATTGTTGGAGATCAAGAACACATTGAATGACAGAGGAAACTATCTTGTAAACTGGTTAGCCACTGATGAAACACCCTGCAGTTGGACTGGCATTTCTTGTTTCCCCAATCTTCAAAGAGTTCGATCAATATAAACCACACCCTTTGTTTCCTTTTGATGTTTTATTGCTTCACTTTTGCCTATTTTTGCTTATATATGTGTTGATCTTCTACAGAAACCTACCATACATGCAATTAGGAGGGAAAATATCTCCCAGCATTGGCAAACTCAACAGATTGCAAAGACTGAGTTCATTTCTTAGTTTTTCAAACTCGGGTTCAGCCTAGTTACTTCGGTGGCTAATGTGTCCTTGTGTTGTTTCGAATCGTTCTGATTCCGGTTTTCAAACATTCTTAATGTTTACCTGAGGACAAACTCCTATAATTTTCCGAATATTTGACATGCCAACAGAAGTTTGAACAGAGTAACATATTGTTACTTCCATAGATGATTCATTATGCTGAATTATACGCATCGAGAAAAAAGATTCGAGGACCAAGGCATCTTACCATCTCCCCTAGTCACAAGTGTTATGCCAATCAAGCAGTTGATTGCTGTGGTTTTTCCAGCTCCATTGGGTCCAAAAAGACAAATAGTTGATCCTTTGCAAGGTTCACCCATAAGCCCTGAATACAAGTTTACAAGTAAGCAACATATTTTAAATAAATCTCCACTTACAGCAGAAATCTAAATTCCTATCAACGTTATGTTTTCCATCTCTAGCCTTACTGCGGTAATTCAGCAACTGTTAAGATCACGAGAAAATAACAACTTGATGAATAAATTGAAGACATAACAAATATAGATATTAGATACTGAGTAACATCGCAGAGCCATAATGATTTGGTTGCATGAATTGCGACTCAAAATTACTCAAAAGGGTGCTAGCAGGCCAAAAATCAATCAAATTAAACTTCTCTTACCATCCTAAATGACCCAACATCCTAGACCAAGAAATTTCCTTTGAAATATATCAGGAAAATAAACGGTACTTAAATTTGGACAACATAGGGACGAAGGAACATATCCTCCTTCGTCAGGCAAGAAAACTAAGTCGGAAAAAAGGATTGCTTACCTTAACAGCATGGTATGGTGCAGTTTTCTTGCATTTACAGCAGCCACTACACGATCTGGTCCCATGATACATCTTTGAAAGACCCCGTATCTGAACTGCAACATTCTGATCAACTATACCTCCCTTGTTTGTGTTTTAACAAGGTTTTCCTCTTGAAGGACATCTTCATCATCGGGAGTATCATGTTACACAGGTGGAGCTGAACCAATACAACTACAAATGCCACCCTCTATTAAGAGAAAGCTAGAAAAATACAAGTTAGGCGCATTTGTTCAAGTAGGAAAATTCTTGAATATAAATTGAATTTTATTTACCTTCTTCCTTTCCACCTTTCCCCGTCAAAATACCCAGGCATCAAGAAGTAAAATACTGGTCTTCTCGTACTAGTTGACAGATTTGGAATTATGCTATCAAAGTAGATAACCAAAACAAACCACACAAAAAATGTTGCCACCAACAATATGTAGATATCATTCTGTCAGGAACATGCAAAAACGAAGCATAAATGAAAAGAGAACAAAGCAGAAAGATAATGGGCAATATTCTCAACCAAAAATTTTCAATTTCGAACCATGGACGTACAATTGCTATTATACATCGGTCATCATTTGGAGCACATTCTTTTCGTCTACTCCAGCTAACTCCAATGTCTTTTGGAGTGTTAGTAGCCTCAGCAAGAAGATTTAGTGCTTCAGCAAGAAGATTGGGTGGGAATAGTGACTATATATTTTGAAGAGTTCGACTGAAGGTATCACCATACGGGAATCCAGCATTAGTAACAATCTGCAATAAACAACTAAAGTCTATAAATATAATTGAACACGTACTTCAAAATCAAGAAGTTTAGAGTTGGATCATTGCCTGGGTAAAAAACCGATTATAAAAATGAAGAAACCAATAGTAGTGGCTGAAGATGACTTGCTAATGAAGGATGGCAGCATGAATGCAAAACCAACCTGCCCATCAAGCATCACAAGTCACAAATCGTTACTTAATTAAGAGCAGAAATCAACATATAAAGAGTGACAAAAGAAGTGTCATGAACCCCTCCCATGCGAGCCACGATAACCAGTAGGCAGAATCAAGAAGACCCATCATAGTCATAGCCTGTTGGGGACCAATCAAAAAGGTAAACAAACTGAATCCATTATATTCCTGTATAAAGATTGCAAAACTAATCTCTGTTTCAAACATAAAAATTTGAGACCTGTCGAAGCTTGAGTTCTTTCTCTGACACCAACAAACCAATCTCAAACACAAAACCGAACATTGCAATTGCAAGGAAAAAAATCTGTCCAACAGTACCCAGCGTTGAAAAGTTTTCCTTTGCGGGGTGGGGAAATTCCTTGAATTCAACAGTCCATCCAAAGTTTGGATCTGTATCATCATATAAACAAATCAGACAAAGAAACACAAATCAAGTCCGCCAAATAAAATTTCTTAATAGAACTTAGTACCTCCAATCAGTGACCTAGCAATCTCACGTTCTGCAGCAACTTGAAGAGGAATTTGGAATTTAAGTATTGGATCTTCATATTGCCCCCGTCTGCTCATTGCAGTAGAATTAGTCTGTAAACCATAGCTAATCACACTTCCATTAAGTTCTCTAAAATGCAAAGCTCCCGGGACATGCATAGAAAAGCCATTCATCTACATCACCAGTAGTCCTAAACGATTTAACATGCAAAAAAAGACATATATATCATCTGATAAGTAACTGTTTCATTTATCCAAGTAACCAGTATAATAACTACTACAGCAGAACTTTCCTAGCATTCTGCTAATACAAAATCGATTTCAAGAAAATATATACGAACATATTAAAATAACATAACTATTCACAAGAAGTCAATATAACACCAAAATAGTAATATTACAGGTAGATCCCTTCAGAAATTGTAAATTTTTAAGTTACTTAATGGTAAAATTGCATCAAAAAGAATTTATAATTCAATTCCCACAGCCTAAAAAAATTCACGGCTTCGGCTCTGTTCACGGTATTCACTAGCAGAGAATATATAGAAATTAGTTTTATTTTACCCTAGTTAGTGAATGGGTCTGCCGGGATTGTTCTCTCTAATGGCTCTAACGATCCTGTCAACGGCCCGGCTCTCATTCCCGCTCCAAACGAAGTTGTAGCAAGGTAGCTTAACAAAGTACTTATCCTCACATGGAGGGATCGCCGGAGCCACCAACGGCTTCGGATCCCG